TCTACAAATTAGTAACTTTTTCTGAACTCATCACACAGCTGAGGCAATAGGGCACCTAACTCAACACAGGTCTACAAAGGCACTGGAGCACTTGCTTACCTAGGTCACACTCCACTGGCAACTAATAAAAAGAATTTAGCCAAAACCATGAATAAACTGCTAAAGGCTGAGTGTGAGCTAGCAAGAGAACACAGGATGTATTCACAGAACATATAACACAAAGCGTACTGGGTGCTAAAATATAAAAGAACTCACACCCACTTTTAGGTTCTTCTCAGAACCTCCAGTGGGCCTCCCAAAAGAGATAGGTGAGAGTGCCCCAAAAGTACCCTTTGTCATTCCTGGTTCAGTCCTGGGAGAAGGAACAGCAACCCTGGCAGGAAAGGTTTTTATAAAATAGGCTGCATAGATCCTTCTTCTCTGTCCCTATGGAACAAAAGCCATCTAGTGCCTGGAAGAAAGGCAAAAACCACTGTTTCCCTAATGGAAATGGTGAAAGCCAGGGCAGCTTAGGAAAGGGGGAGGGGAAATCAACACCAACCTCTAAATGTGGGGGAGGACCAGAAACACTCAGAGGGCCACACCTCCAAGCCGAGGCACACAATCACTGAGATCAAGGCCTAGCCAAGGTGTACCCCACTTGCCTCCTACCCCTAGACTGCAAAACAGAGAGTAAGAAGCAGCGGCAGTGTACCCCTGGGAGAGTCATGAGAGCGGATGGGGAGCCTACCCAAGCCACTGCACAGAGGAAGGGCTGAGATCCAAGGTCAAGCAAACACTGAGAAAACCTCACCAGCCCCCACCCTAAAAAACAAGGTAACACTAGAGGAACCTGAAGTGCCTGGTGTACAGAGGGTAACCACAGCAACAATGTGCATTCGGGATTACTGGGAGCAATTTGTTTAATTCAAAATGCAGTATGCAATAGAACAAGTAGATAATCAGAAGGGAATGGAAGACCCGGGGAATGCTAGACTAAGTTAATCTAATTAACATTTATGGAATATTCCACCCAACCAGAGCAGAATACACATCTGTTTCAGGGGCACATGGTGTTTTCACCAGGGTGGACCATAAAATGGCACAACCAAGTGGGACTTATCCTGGGAAAGCAAACCTTCCTCAATTTTGAAAAGCAAAATAATTTAGTATGTCAACAGACTAAAGAAGAAAAAAATGTATAATAATCTCAACAAATAGATTCTTTTTTAAAATTACTCTTTACAATAGCCTACCTCCCCCTCCAAAAAAACATACTTAGGTATAACTCTAAGATATTATATGGAAGATCTGTATGCTCAAAAAATTTTGTGATATGAAAATCTGATTACAATATAACATTGAATGAAAGCAAGAAAGGTACAAGATAGTATGTATATATGGTCAGAATTTTATAAAATAAAATTCAAACCAAGTATTTTTTCCATAGGGATAGAAAGGCCACAAAATATTAAATATTTACAACAGTGTGTCTTTAGTTCCTTATTCTTAATAAGGCAATCACCAAGTGTTTTAAAGGAAATAAAACTGAAATTAATACGAACAATGTGTAAAGCTAATTCCTTTGCTGCCACCTGTTACTGTATAATGCACTGCAAGAAGTCTTCTTAGGTCAGTTTTCTTGGAAATAGTTCCATATGCTCTTAAAATCATTTGCTGAAAAGAAAGTTCTGTGGTCAAAGAAGTTTAAAAAACACTAATGTAATAAATTGGTTTCCTAATTGTAGAATTCATTAGAATCATCAGTATACCAGCGCCATTCTGGATCTTTAATGGGGTATAGTTTGCTATATGTTTATAGTTCTGTGGTGTTTTCCAAATTTATTTGAGTGCAGTACTTGTAGAGGGGTAGTAAGAGAGACAGGACAGGGTTGTTTTGGCTGACATTCCAAAGTAGGTTGCAGACATCACATTATTTTGCTTCTAAATACTTCAGTGTGTATCTCCCAAGAATAAGGGACATTCTGTTGCTTATCCACAATACTGTTAACACATCCATGAAAGTCAGATTACTTCCCTAACAACTTCTAATCTCTAGTCCAAATACAAAATTCCAGTTTTATATATAAAAAATGCTTTTATAGTTAGTTTTTCAAGGTTCTCATGTTATGTTTGTTATTTCCTTTTAATGCAAAACCACACACTGTTTGTTTGTTTTTTTTTTCTTTTTGATGTGGATTTTTTTTTTCTTCCTGGAGATCAGTTTCAATGAATTGTAGAAATCCCATGTTTTGTCTGATTATTTCTCCATGGTGTTACTCACTTTGTTCCTCTATCCCAGGTTATTTCCAGTATATTGACACAACAGAAGACTCAGAGTCAGGTAAAACACTTTTAGCAAGAATATGTCATAACAAGAACATGATGCTGTGCTCCTCATCCCACATCATATCACGAGACACACAATAGGCCACCTCTCTAGTGATACTGCTGAGCTTGATCACAGCATTCAGGTGCTGACTGCCAAATCTCTCCATTGCAAAGGTATATCTTTCTCTTTGTTACTAGCATTTCTGCCACGAGGTGATACTTTATCACTTTATCACTGTCCTGTCTCTCAATAACCTTCTAAGTGATATATATATATATATATATATATTTTTTTTTTTTTACCCCTGGATGGTATTTGCAGGACCACCAATTATTTCATTGTGTTCCTAATTAATTTTTATTTACATCTTTAAAATTTCTTTATAGGAAAACTCAGTCTTTGTGATGTACAGGTATGAGAGTTCTGCCAAATACAGAGTTTTGTATCCACCACAATAATTGAGATACACAATAGTTACGATACTTCAAAAAACTCCCTCTCACTGTCCCTTTGGGGTCCTAAATGAAGTTTGATACAAAGTCCATTCTCAGCAGCTTTGCTCCAACCTCATTTGTCCCATAGTATTTTTTATCTCACCTAGTAGTGATTAAACTCCTATGTGCATAAGAGTAAAACCATTAAAATTTATTTTAATATAGGCTCTGGGGCCCTACCCCCAAAATTTAGGATTCCAAGGCTAAGGCATGGTGCTTATGATTGTGATTCTAGTAAACCTTAAGTATATGCCACATGATGATTATGAGCATGGCCTTAATTCTCTACCTTTCCTTCTATCCATATTCTTTGCAATGCAATTTTGCAGCTCCTGCCATGAAGAGGTGGAGTCTGTTTCTGAATCCCATGAGTCTGGGCAGTGACTTGTTTCAGCAAACAAATACAGTGGAATTGATGGTATACCTACACAAGCCTTGCTTGTTTTGACTCTTCTGGAACCCTTGGGCTGAGGCCTGGCAGATGAGCCAGGGCTAGCCTGCTATATGAGGAGGGGTGTGAGGCCTCATCTCCACCATCACCTCAGATGACAGTCAGTCAGGCAGGTAAATGGGTCATCCTGGAGCAGCCAGCTCCACGCAACCCTCTGCAGACACCTCAGCATACCAGCCAGGCAAGATCTTGTAAACTTTGCCAGCTGACATATATAAATATATACATATATATATATATATATATATATATATATACACATATATATATATATATATACACATATATTAGCCATGTCAGAGCGATCTGTTACATAGTAATAGATGACTTATACACTACAATTCTGATACTCTTTACCCAAGGACTACTGACTTACCTGTTCTCCGTTCCCCCACTACCCTGGCTCCCACCACCTTCCTCAATTAGGCTTTTATATCTTGTTCAGACTATTGCTGTCATTCTACCTCCATGCACACTACTGCTATTGACTGCATTCTTTAAAGTCAGAAGTTAAGTTGTCATAATGGATGCATTCCTATCATCTAGCATAATGACTGGTGCCCCCCACAGGTGCTCAGTCCTGGTTTGTGGAATGACAGTTGCCAGATTCATAGAGCACAGCTCTGATCATGTCGCTACTGTATGCAGGACTCTACTGGCACTTACACCACATACCAGGTCCACTTTCCACTTGGTTTACTTAATTCTAGGACCTCTGTGACCAGGCTGCAGCCTCACTCCCCACTCTTCTTCCCTTTCTTCTCTCAAGGCTTGGATAAAAAGTGAGGGCTAGCTGACCACACCTTTCCTTCCCTGTCTGTATGATATTGACTCCTGCCTGGAAGGCCGGCCCACAATCCATAAACTCGACACATTCCTGAAGGTCCAAGTCCTCTGTGAGAGTCTAGTAGGTCTAGTTAAGAAAGAGCTCACCCCTTCTCCTTGCCTCTAGCACTTAGCCTGAGCACTATCCCCTGAGCACCTGATACTGTGGTTACCTGTTCGCTGTGGCATCTGGCAGGCATCTCCTCTGAGACTGTGAACTTTGAATACCTCTCTGTATTCCCTATGGTACCTAACACAGTCCATGCAACATAGTAAGACCTTTGTAAATGCTTACTGAACAAATGAATAGGTGGTTTTTAGTCACTAAAACGATAGTAACAGTGGTAAGCCAAACCCGTGACAAAGATGGCAAGATACACAGTGGTTTTCATATATCAGTCTGTAAAAGAATCTTCTGGAAGGCCTGTTGAAAGTACAAATTCCAAGGCTCTGCCCCCAGAGAGGTTGCTTCAGTAGGTCTGGAGTAGAACCCTAAGTTTAAATTCTTATCAAGCTGTCCATGTGATTTTGGGGGAGGTTTGTGGGAAATGCTTTTACATACAGTGACACACAGCCTACTTTGTAGATATGAATTCCGAAGTAAACTCCTTTTCTCATGCACCTAAGAATTTTTTTTTTTTAAGTTTCCCCACAGAAATGCCAAGGCACTGAGGAGTGCGGTGGGCCTATAAAAAGAACGACTTTAACAATACATACATAGTCTGGCACCTTATTCGCTTAGGTTGCTGGGAATATGGCATCACACCCCATTCTTTGTAATCACAATCTGCACACATTTTTTCCATCTACATATCCTTTTTATAAACTATTTAAAGTTTAATTTGCTACAAATAGTCCTTTTTGAGACCATCTCACCATGTGAGGTATGCTTTAGAAGTGAAAGGTGCAGAATTCCTACCTCGGTCCCAGAGGCTGGCTCTTAATGCTCTCTCCAGCTGTTCCTCCTCACTGAGTCCTGCTGTGTAGGCATTATAGTTCATGGGTGCCTCTTCAGGGTAACCTGGCCTGCCATATGGGTAATAATCCTGGTATCCGGAGTAGCCTACAGGCACAAGGAAAAAGTTACAGAACATGGCCATGTACTGTTCTTTCCATTCTTCCCATCTGTAAGCAAAGACAATAAAATGATTTAGGTCATCACTCTGAGTACAGTAATGAGTTCCAAGAAAGAAAAAATGATAAAGGGAGAATTCCTCCATGAGCATGGGCAATGATACTCTTATTAGTGCTGTACATGCCCACAGTGCCCAATGTGGGACTGCACATGCTCTCGCATGTCCTTATGTGCTATAAAGGAAGAAGATATTAATTTAGAAGGTCTGAGTGGTAGTGGAGAGGGGCTGGTATGACCTGTTTTCATCTGGAGTGGGCTCTTGCAGTTTAGAGCTCCGCAATACTTGGGAGTATTTTCTGTGAAGTCCTGACGAGAATCAAGGGCACGGTTGAAATGATAGTTGATAAAGCCTTTCTGTCGAGTGGCTCCATACAATGAGCGACAGACTAACATTTAATGCAGGGACCACAGGATTTCTGTGCTGGATATGATATTTTGGACAGTAAGTAACTTCATAGAGATATACAAGGTGATGTCTCTATACTTATAATTTTATGTCAAAAACATAGTTTCTATTAAGAGCACTTTCAAGTAATTGGTTGCTAGACAGAATGAGAGAAGAAACAACCTGCTCATTAAATAACGCTTTAAGTATCAGACTTACATATCCCATTAATGAAGGTCAATCACAGAGTTCACTTTTGCAAGGTGCTTCCATCCATCTTTTTAAGTTGGTTTGAGTTTACTCCTTACATTTTCTTTAATTGCTCATTTTTATGTAATTTGTTTGGAAGAGAATTTCCCCCCCAAAGAATACCAATCTAATTCTGGTGTAATGAGAAGGAAGACAAGAGTCTGTTTAACTATATCCCTTCTTTCCTCTCATTAACATACCCTTTGGGGATGAGTTTTCAAATGTTTAATTAATGCGCTTTTTGTTGTTGATGAACATTCCTATCCTTTACTTTGAGTCCTGTCTCACAGGTCTTCATATCACCCAACATGGTATATAACCTGAGTTCAAATTTCTTACTGCTTCAGGGAAAAAAAAAATACACAATCAAGCCAAAAAGAGGAATACTGTAGGGCAGAATCTGGTTAATTAGGATTTCATATTCAGAATATTTGCTAATTGATCCTAAGGCTACTTTTTTTTTTTTTTTGGACAGGAAGTAGGATTTACTGGTGGGCATAAATAGGGAGTTGGCAGTGCCAGGGTTCTCACAAGTGCAGAGCTCTCCATTTGTCCAAGGGGCCACTATCAGGGATGTATCTGACCCCACTGGCATCTAGGATGAGCTTCCTTTCAGCCACCTTGTCTTCAAATTCATCCACATTAAACTTAGTAAAGCCCCCCTCCCCCCAACCCCCACCGTCTTGGAGATGTGATCTTCTGGTGGCCAGGGAATTTGAATTTGGCCCTGTATAGGGCCTCAATCACATGCTCCTTGTTTTGCAGCTTGGTATAGATGGATATGATGTCTTGGCCAATGGGACTCTGGCTACTGTGCCCTGAGGCTTCTCAAAGGCACCCCGCATACCTGTCTGCAGCCTAGATTGGAGTTAGCATGAGGTAAGACCTCAAAGTCCACTGGAAAGGGCTGTCTCCAAGGACCCTTAGGGCAACCTGTATAGACAATAAGCTGCATACACTGCCAAGGAGGCTACTGTTTGCAGCGATGGCACATCAGGGGTCCCGAGGCTATTTTAAAATTTACTTTTGTGCCGGTTAAAAATAAAATACGATATTAAAAAGGGAAGCAATTCATTTCCCATAAGAATTTTCAGGCATTCCCAAAGTCTTTATTTTCATATAAACAATGAAATGAAAATAAAACATACTGATCTAGTTTGGGCTGATAATCTAACATAATTATACACATTTACATAAATATTTGTCATGTTACATGTGTCTATTGGTTATGTTTTTATAGCAGCTTGAATAAGACATAATTGACATGCTATATATTTCACCAATTTAAAGTATACAACTCAATGGCTTTTAGTACATATTCAGAGATTTGTGCCACTACCACAGTCAATTTTAGAACATTTTCATCACCCTCAAAAACAAACCTGTGCCCTTTAGCTATCATCTTCTACCCCTCCCTAAGGAACCAGAATCTACTTTCTGGCTCTATAGCTATGTCTATTCTGGACAATTATATAAATAGAATCATACAACATGTGGTGTTTTGTGTCTGGTTTGTTTCATTTAGCACAGCATTTTCAAGGTTCATCTATGTTGTAGCATGAATCAGTACTTCACTCCCTTTTGCGACCAAATAATATTCCATTGCATGATTCTATCACATCCATCAACTGATAGACATTTGGGTTATTTCCACCTTTTGACTCTTGTGAATTATACTCCTATAAACATTCATGGACAAGTTTTTATACAGAAATATGTTTTCATTTCTCTTGTGTACATACCTAAGAGTGGGATTCCTGGGTCATAAGAACTTCTATGTTTAACCATTTGGAACTGCCAGAATGTTTTCCAAAGCTGCATTATTTTACATTTTATGGGTTCAGATTTCTCCATATATTCACCAAGGCTTGTTACTACCTATCTTTGCAATTATAGCCAGCCCAGTAGGTGTAAGTGGTATCCCATTATGGTTTAAATGATTAATATTGAGCATCTTTTCATGTGCTTGTTGGTCACTTGTACATTGTCTTTGGACAGTGATCTATTCAGAGTCCTCGCCCATTCTTAATGATTATTACAACACTCTTCTTTGTAATATTTTACAAGATGTCCTTCAAAGTTACAAAGTGAATGATTTAAATAAACATTAAATAAAATTGTCCTGGATTTGGGGGGCTGATTCTGACAAGCCTTGCTCCTAGAGTAGTAAAAAATTAGAGGGAATTTACTAAATATGTCCAAGAACCCAACTTCCACATTCTCTCTCCTGTTTCCTGTATCACAAAATTAACATCTTCATATTTAAAATAGGGGAAGGAAAAAAAATAAAATAGAGGAAGGATATAAGTAAATTTCCCAAATCCTCACAAGAGTGTAGGACTGAAGTTAGATCTGGATTCAAATTTAAAAAAGGACCTCCGGGGGCACCTGGCTGGCTCAGTAGTTGAGCATCTGCCTTTGGCTCAGGCATGATCCTGGAGTCCTGGGATCGAGTCCCCCCATCAGGCTCCCTTCAGGGAACCTGCTTCTCCCTCTGCCTATGTCTCTGACTCTATCATGAATAAATAAATAAAATCTTTCTTTTTTAAAAAGGATACACTTCTTTAAATTGGGTCTCTCCCCAACAGACCCGTGAAAAAAATTTAGCTCCCACTGCTATGTTAGGGACCACCCACCAGCAAATCTTATATCCTGAGCATAAAGAAGACTATGGCACTGCTACAAACATTGTTTTCTAGATTTCTCACCAAAACAACAACAAAAACCTTTTATTAAGGGCAAATGGTTAAAATACCATCAATATGTCTACTTCACAAAGAACAAAAGAAAGGGGCAACCATTCCAAAACATAATAGAATACTTATGGATAAGTTGCTGAATACCATGGTATGCTTCCACAATCCCTCAACAGATAGACTGCCCAGTTCCCTAAGAGTGCCAATTATTTTATTGCAACACAAAAAAAGCACATTGGCCACGTTCCCATATGGCTCATTACCGCTTTCAAACCCTTGTGGAAAGTCATTCTGTTATACAAGTTCTAAGCGGCACTTCTACCTATCTATCCTCGAAAATGTCCAGCTAATTCAAAACCCAAAATAACCCCAAAGCTCTGAATACCCATCTGTACAGATATCAGAAATACCGCATACCCCATGAATCTATAGAGTTTCAACTGCCAGGTAAATTTGCTACAATTTGAGGCAATATTTTCTTGACATAGAAAAACATTTTTTCTTCATGTTATTTCTTATTTAAAAACCAACCCAGCACCGCCTTAATGAAATAAAGTCTACAACTCTAAACATCTGAATATTATAAAATCTAATTTGGTACTTGTCAGACAAAACATGAGGAGAGAAAGGGAAAGCTTCAGTGTGTTAAGTCACTGTGGTTGAAGGTTCTATCTCATCAGTCATAAATCATCAAGAAGACCAAAACTCCTATCAATATCTATTACAATGAGAACAGGTCTCCCTAGGACAAAAAATTTTCTTCAGCTGTTCTGCTGGCCCAATCAGATATTTTTAAATCTTCATAATAAACATGGCTGGAACAACCCAACAATCAAACACTTAAGATAAATAAGTTTAAATTATATCCTGCGATGAATAGCAGTCTAATACTCTTTTGTAGCTATATCCTTTGGCTCTGTAGTAAAAGGAATTCTGGTTATCATTATTCTATTAACTACCCCATCTGTTCCTTATACACATACCAGGATTTCATGGCAAAAGAGATCAAGAAACACCACCAAGATTAGAAAAATTGGTAACAGCTTTTTAAACATTCATGAGGTTCTTTGACCTATAAAAGACACTTCCAGCTAAGGATGGCCATATTAAGCATAAATCATTACTTGTAAGGGATACATATGCTCTCCTACAAGTTCCCTAGATGACCATTAGCATGGCCACCTGGCCTTATGTAGCTCTGCTTTTGAAGAAATCCAGTCACTTCAGAGGAAGGAATATAAATATGGTAATCTTACAGGGGATAAGAGAGAAAGGTAAAAGGGGCTTTTATTTCTCCCTTTAATTCTGTGGTGTCTGTTAGGCTTATGCTTCTTCCATATGAAGGAGGAAAGGAGAAGGTTTCCCTTTTTACTTTTTTTTTTTAAATAAATGCCAAAAAAAAAAAAAAGGAGAGAAAAGACAATAAGGGGAACTGCCCTATTTTGTAAAGATAAACCAACAGAATGTCCATCTCCTATCCTTGTAATAGAGAAAAAGCGGAGGCTTGGAATCAAGGAGTTGCATTTTTGGTTCCGGTTTTATCACATTTGTATGACATTAGCCAAATGACTTAACACTTCTAAACTTCAATTCCCCAGCTGTCACAGAAGACATTAGGACTAGGGAATCTACGATAGTTGAAGGCATGTCTATGCACAGGTATGTTCTTATTCTCTTTGTCCAGAGGAATATTCATTCCTGTTACTTTCAGGGATTTAAAAAAATCAACAGCTGAAAAGCCCTTTATCCTCTGCCAACTTCCAGGTGTTAGAGGCTATGTTCCTTGTGAAGTGGAGGGAATAGTCAATAGGAAGTGAGAAACCACAATAGGAGAACCAAAATGGTCTTCCTAAGCCACCTCTTCCTAGTCAGGCAGGCCAATGAAGCTCTTATGCTTAAGTCAGTGTGAGCTGGTCTCCAGGACCAACGACTAAAAGGAATCGATGCTCTTCCAAATGAGTATATTTATCAGCTTAGTAACTAATTAATCATCACACTTCTCTTTAGGTGAGACCACAGATAGAAGCAGATCAGCTGGCATCATTCAACAATGGTTCCTCTCCCACCCCAGGACCACGTTTCTAGTATTTTAATCATTCAAATTAGCAGAGGCAAAAGCCTCAAAAGTGAGGTTTTTCTTGGGGTAGCAACAGCATTCACTTCCATGATCCCCAAGTCTAGGTAAACCCTATCACCTAGACCAATGATTTTTGTTCTTGATCTCATTAAAATCACCTGGAAAGCTTTAAGAAAAAAAGTCCAAGTTCCTGTCTCTATCCTCATTCTGATTTAATTGGTCTGGGATGAATTCAAGGCACGGATATATTAAAAACAAAAACAAAAAAACCTCCTCAGGTGATTCATATATATAGCCAGGGTTGATGATCGTGATCCAAGTCTTTATAACTACATCAAAAACAGAGCTTGAATGTAACTCCAATAGTATCACTCCACTGATTAAATCCTTTAGTGGCACTCCAACACATTCTGGATAATCTCAAACAGGCCTTTAATAAAGGCCTGAAAAGCCCTTTCCTCCCACAGCTTTCCTTAACTTCTCCTTACTCATTCAAAACCCTTACCTACCACTTCCTCTGAATAACTTCCAATAACCGCAACCCTACTCCTCCCTATCAGGCTGAACACTGAATGCAGCACATTAATTCTGCTGAACTGGACTTCTATCACTGCCAGAAAGGAGTCACTGGGACTGAACTAGCCCTTCCGCCATAATCAAGTAGGAAACTAGAAAATATATATGAAATAAGTGTTTTCAGACATTGTGTAACAGGCAATACAAAATTTTGATCCTTGAGAGAAAGGAAAGGAGCCTGAAGGGTGCTTTCTAGACTGTGGCATAGGGACAGGGGACACAAGCAGGTGCAACAGACTCCTTGAGTGGACCTGAAATTTGCAGGACAGAAAAGAGCAAAGGAGAAAACTAAGTGCACAGAAAGACCTTCAGGAATCTGCACAGGCCGCCTGGAGATTTTGCTGAATTTTTAAGCCATGCATGTGTGGGTGAAATGCCATGAGACCAGGCCAAGGATGATGAAGAATTCCGGGAGCTCAGGCGGGGCTGGGAGACCTCTGCTTTCCAACCAACCAGAACAGAGAGTCCTTGCTGAACAAAGGCCATTCAGGAAAGATCCTAGAAAAGTGACACCTCAATACTAGCATAGAAGTAACCCTACAGTAAAAGTTACTTTAGACCCACTTTAAAGGACTTAAAAACCAGCACCAGAGGGATCACACGGTTCTCCAGTGGAAACAACTATAAAAGACAGACCTCCACAGCCTAAGGCTTCTTTAACACCTGTCTGCTAGAACTGGCCCAGGGAATGCAGGGCAGCCTCCTCAGCACGGAACATAAGGCTCTTAATCTAAAACAGGTCAGATGTCCCTTCTACATACTCGCAAAGACATATGGAAAAAATGCATTCTCTTCTTTAAGTCGCATGGTAGTAACTATAAGAGGAATGCCTATTTTAGCCTCTGAGGTTAGGTGTGATTCTTCCTGAACGTGTAAGGTGGGATGAACTGCAGAGAATCGTAGATCTGAAACCAACTTCTAACACTCAGCAGGCAATCTGGATGTGTAGACCAAGAATCAAGGGCCCTGGGTCTACTATGATTCCTACCATGGCTGAGAGATCTCATAACAACCATATAATCCTTTCAGGCCAGAGTTACCTCCTTCCCTGGCCTTCTCTCCCAAATTCACCCAAATCCGCTCCCTGGGCTCTAGCTCCATCTAGCTTTCGGGCATGTTAGCAGCATAAGCACATATGTGTGGACGACTCTACAACAGCATAAGCTAATATGACCTTTTGGCGGCTTGATGCTGGCAAACTCTATGATTTTTTTAAGATAAAATGTATTAAATGAAATCAAGTGCTTACCTGAACTATTAAAGTGGTGCTGCTGTCCTGGATAATGAATATTGGAGGGGAAAATGCCTAAATATGAAGGAAACAAACATTTTAATTGTAGCCATAAGGATTCCCTCACTGTAGCTTTTATTGAGGTCTGACAAAAAATCGCATACATTTAGGTTGTACAACATGAATTCTTAAAAGGTACATAGCATGATTTGTAACATCATACCTTAATGGTATATAACAACATGATTCAACATACATATGAAACATTTATTACAAAATTAATTGATACACCCATTATCTCACAGTTACCTTTTTGAGTGTGTGTAAACATAAAATCTACTCTCAGTAAATTTCAAGGATCCAAAGCAGTATTATTAACTATAGTCACCGTATTGTACATTTGACCCCCATAATTTATTCATCTTATAACTAGAAGTTTGTATTCTGCGACCAACATCTCCCCATTTCTCTGTCCCCAGCCTCTGTCTGCTTTCTGATTTTATAAGTGCAACTTTTTTAGATTTCACATGTAAGATCATATAGTATTTGTGAGACCATATGGTAATTGTCTTTCTGTATCTGACTTATTTCACTTAGGGTAATATCTTCCAGGTTCATCCATTTTGTCACAAACAACAGGATTTCTTTCATTTTTATAGCTGAATAAGTCCACTACACACATGCATACACACACATATATTCTTTGACCATTTCTCTGATGGATATTTTCACCCTCTTTTGGCATATTGTGAATAATGCTGTAATGAACATGGGAGTGTGAATATCTCCTGGAGACGCTGATTTCATTTCCTTTGGATATACACTCAGAAGTGGGACTGCTATATCCTCAGGTAGTTCTATTCTTCAAGGAACCTCCATACTGTGTTCCATAATGGCTGTACCAATTTACATTCTCACCAACCGTACACAAGGGCTTCCTTCTCTCCAAATCCACGCCAATGCTTCTTATCTCCTGTCTTTCTGATAACCGCCATCCTAATGCTTCCCAACTACAATCTGTATCACAAAGCTGTAGTAATCCAAACAGTGTCGTGCTGGCATAAAAGCAAGGCACATCAACCCATAGAACACAACAGCCATAAGGCCTTAACTGATGATCTTTCCAACACCTGGGGAGGTTCTTTATAATGAAGCCAAGGTCATTTAAAATGATTTCTAAACAACTGTTAACATAAACTCTCTTTTGCTTGGGGCCAGCTCTCTAGGGAACAGAATGCAGAAAACCTTGAGGCTCTTCTATACTTTCTGCAGTTCCTTAGAGGTTCCTGTAGACCTCAGAGAGTCTTTGCTTGGGCTTTGAGGCCCTCTGTACAAGTAGAGGTGCTCTGGCTATCCAGAGAACTCACCCCCAGCCACCCCACCCAGTAAGCCATGGTGTTTACTTCTCTTACTCTGTCCTTAAAAGGGCAGCAGGACAGTGGATTCAGCGCTGCTGAAGGGAGGGAAAGAGGGTGGGAGAAACAGCAGAGCTTCAGTGTGATGCTCCTTTTCTTCAGGAGTTATCACAGAGCAGCTTCACGCTCTTGGCTCTTTTCCACCAGGTACCTATGTCACACCACTCTAGATCTTTCTCCGGCTTCCCCAGAAACAAACAAACAAACAAACAAACACATAAATAAATAAATAAATAAATAAATAAATAATAAATAAATAAATAAATAAATAAATAAAAGGCAGAGAGACTGCAGGCTATTTGTAAATAGCGCCGAATGTTGGTTTCAACTTTTCATATTTAAGTCTCTACTGTATACTTTTAGAATGACATGATATAAAAAGTAAGTCTCCAAAATAAATAGGCAAGGTTTTAGGAAGGAAAGTAAATAGCACAAATGGTAAAATTGTGGGGGAAGTCCTCTTTATAATCAAAATGCTTCCCTCAATTCCATAAAATGTCTGTGGAAAGCTTGACAAACCACTTCAACTTCAGATACACGTAGAAAAGTGAAAGAAAATATTAAGCTCCCAAGAATCATTTCTTTTCCTTTATCTGTACTGAGAGCATTGGGGCAACAAAGCTCGTTACTAGATTTTCATAATTAAGTTGTATCAAAAATATAATGGAACTGGACATTTTCAATAAATGTGGTTCCCACTGCCTTCTCTAAGCACACATACTGAAAACACAGTATTAAGTAAATGCAGGAAAAATGGGAATCTGTTTAGATGCAACACAGCCTGTAAAAATCATCTGAAAGTGCACACAGCCCGCGAATAAAGACGGCAGCACAATGCCTGGAAAGCTTTCTGATATCATGAATATTATATGGTTCTCAAGAATACCAGTCATCGGCACAAACTGTGAAAACAAATTATTTATGGTTCAAGGAAAGGTAAAATAGTCTCAGAAGATTTCCCATGAATAAAAGATGAAATATTGGAACTCATTTGGTCTATAAAACAAGTGTTTGCAAAATAGTTTTCCAATTAGTCAAAGCCAGTATAGCATTTGAAATTAAGAGGGCTAAAAAATTCATATATTTCTAAATAAAATAAAGTATTTTCATTGAGCATCAATTTGACAGGTAAAAAAAGCAAAAAAACAAAAAAAAAAAAAAAACAAAAACAAAAAAACCAACCAGCCAACAAAACTTTCAAAAGCAGGAGCCATGCTTCAAACAATAGAAGACTTGGGTTTGGCCATGCATGCATGTGCATCCTGCCCGCTGAGAACCTACTGGTCATTCTGACTTCTTTCTAATACTGGCCTTGCACTTCAGGGCAGATTTGGTTTTCTTTTGTAACTCTGCCTTGCACACATAATATTAATTCGTGGAATACTACAGAAGAATGTATTATTTGAAACCCATTTTGGTTCTCTGCATTTTCAAGAACCTGGTTTTTCTGCAAGTACCATTAATGTTGAAGGTAAACATATTTGTCTCCTAAGAAAGCCTCAGGTTTACAATTTGGGTTTGCCATCTTTTCTTTGGAGTAATATAAGGACTATACCAGCTGTTTTGCCTAGTGGGGGACGCCTGAGTGGCTCAGTCAGGTTAGCATCTGCCTTCGGCTCAGGTTGTGATCCCAGAGTCCTGGGATGGAGCCCTGCATCAGGCTTCCTGCTCAGCAGGGATTCTACTTCTCTCTCTCCTTCTGCCTCTACCCCGTTTATGCTTGTCCTTGCTTTCTCTCTGAAATAAATAAATGGAATCTTTAAAAAAAAAAAAAAAAGTCTAGTAGGGAATTCCTAGGCTGAACCACAGGGAAACTTGGGATTGTTCCTGTTTCCATTAAAATTAAGATGAACTTCCAACTTGTTGTCAGGCCAAAGGTGTTTTGTTCTGTACCTGCACATTTTTCCATTATTTTCTTCAGAGGCCCGTGAGTATACATGAGTCCAACGAGAATCCCGGCCAGATGCCCGGCGAAGGAAGTCCTAGGAGACAACGAGACCGTTTATGAGTAGATACATTCTATCTTCTCATCAGTCCAGTGCATGTCACTTTGTCACTGTCTGCAGGCTTTGTTCCATATCACGTCCTTTATGCTGAGCAGCATTTCATTCTATCGAAAGCACCTTTCCTACCTTAAAAAAAAAAGTACGATGAGTAATAACCACCATGTGTTTAAGGTGCGGTATCCCTCCTTGACCAGGAGAAGCATTTTGTCAAGACCACCCATTCTATTTCTTCCAGTGTTTCTCTGTGGCTCTTATCCAAAAACATAAATGAAACCAGTGCTCCCCGAAGCACACCTTGAATTACCCAGCCACTGTGAGGTCCGCTGTCTATCTGTGTTGCTGTATTTTTATACACCACTGACCAGTGAGGCAAAGAGCAGGACAAACCCAGCAGAGGAGCCTGGGATGTCCACCCCCTTCCCCCAAGTTGTCTTCATAGGCACCTTTCCATCACTCAGCAAAAATAAACAAAATTCTCAACCTCCAGCCTGAAAGATGAGTTAGGGCATTAAATTGGTTCTATTCTTAAGGTAGCATCTAGACTTGGCAATTGCTTCTAAATTCAAGGCAAGCCCCAGCTAAGTCTTTGCTCAATGAGTAGAAGAATAAATGAAAGAAAAATCACCTGGCCAGTCTCCCTGCCCTCCCAATCCCCCAGCTCTTGCACACTCTACCATCAGCTGTTCCGGAACAGTGTCAGTGTCATGTCATGTCACGGCCATCCAGTGACACTCGCTGTCTCGTCTGCTTATAGTCAAGTCCTCTAGGCACTTGGCCTTGCTCATCCCTTCCCTTCACCCACAAAGCCCATCTCCTCACTCCACTGCCAGACCCCCACGTACTCACAGGTGGCTATAAGGCTGAGCTGGATGGCAGGCACCCCTGTCATAAAAATCATGTCCCTCTTTCCTTCTACCTCCCTCAGTCACTTCCTATGGCCTGTATTCAGTCCTCTGGGTAGCGGAGTGTTTACACGCTGGCCCGTCTGTCTCTTTCTTACAAATAACCTGGGGGCAGCAATGATGTCTTCTTAGTCATCTGTTACGCTACATTAGAAGCTCAAAGCAAAAACAGAAAAAGGTCAAGTGATTGAATATTTCCACAGGGCAGGGAAATGACCCTCACTCCAGAAGTGGGGGCCACCAAAAGTTAGTTAGGAGCTGGACGTAAAGTCCAAGAGTACGGTGAAGTTTGTGGCTTTCGCATGTGTATTGCACGCTCCTCGGGCTGTGTGTCGCACAGGGCAGACACTGGAATGTGTGTGAAATGAATGATTCGAGTGTCTTTGGACCAGAAGGCCCATTAAACTCATGACATCTTAAACTTAGAGCACCCTCGGAGCCACGGGGCTGAGGCTGAGTCCCCCATGGGAGACCTAGCATCAGAGCCAACACAGTCCACCTACCCCCACAGCAACCAACAGGCCCAAGGCCCTGGAGATCTTCAAGCAAGACAGCCAGCCATGAGTCATTCTCAGTGTCTTAGAGCCAGCAAAGAGACTTGCTGGCTCCCAGGAAAAGACCAGACAATGGGACACTTCAGAGGAAAGACGAGACGCAGCCTTCTACAGACAGAATGGCACTGCTGTTCACTCCATGTGCCAATTCAATCCTACTGTTGCCCAGGCAAGCTCCTGCATGTCCACACACATGGAAAGTCACAACACGTGTGCTTGCACACATGCCATACACACACATACTCCCCCAAACACAACACACGGTCATTCCTTCAAGAGAGCTATTATTTTCATCAAATATATTTACCTCAAAATATGTGTAACCTGATAATGAAAATATGGGATCAGATGCTCGGGTTCCCATTTTCAGGGAAGAAGAGCATGAACTGGGCTTTTCTTCAGCTTTTCAAAAAAATAAAATAAAATTGTGCTTATTTTACTCTATTTTTAGGCTACATAAAACTCTTCAAATAGTTCTAGGAATGGCAAAGAAAGTGGTAGTTTGAGGGATACAAAGAAGCAGCCAGAATCAATTTTTTAAAAATAGTAACCTCGATTTAACTGAAAAGAATAAAATTGCATCAACATTCTCAAACTTTTTAAACCAATCTTCATGGTGAATCATATAGAGATATAAAATAACATGGGAGAAAATTTCAATTGAAAACCCCAACCTCTTAAACAATCAATCCTGAACCTCATTTACAATTTAGAGTATAATACGGTGAAATGAATTTCTTATCTCTCTAAATGAGTTTGCAGAAGTTTGAGTTATAATCTAATTGTCCTAATATAATTGCAAATAACTAGGGATGGAAAGCTGGCAGACAGAGACCAGACTGCATTATGGCCCAACCTTCCAAATTTTCACAAAAGTCCCCTCTCAAAACCCTGGCTGTCCTCATCCATTCACTCAAGCTTTATATGGGTGTTCTTTTCTTTAAAATAAGAAGAGATTATGATCAGATTAATCAAAACTGAGAATGTCTTAACATTACACACCAAAAAGGGAGAGGCAGCCAACGAAGAAGGAAATATGGGCCCATTTTAAGAGGCATATATTAACTTTCTCTGTGCCTTTGGTAAGCCTTTGACAAACCACCTCATTGGCCCTCTTGGAGACACCCACGTCCTGAGAGAAGAAATGGAACCGGAGGCTGTCTCCTCCCCAGCAGGACAGGGAGTCCCTGTCCCAGCGCTAGTGTGCTTGATCCCTGACCTGGGGTGCTGCGGAGCTGCAAGGAGGCCCTCCTGCCTGGGCTTTGGAGGAAGACAGTTAACAGCTTCAGAAGCAGGTTGTGTTATTATGATCATAACCACACACATAAGAAGGACATTTTGATGTCTGTGCTGTCCGAGGAAGCCCGTGGTTTCACGGCAGCTGTCCTCGAAGTGTGCGGTCTGCTCTGAGTTATACCCGCAGGCTGATATCCTGTGTGGCCAGCTCTCGAGAACACGGCTTCTCCTGGACCCGACTCGGTCTTCGGCTGAGACTGCAGATTTGGTGATGGCCTGTCACCCTCCATCCTAATTCAAACCCTATACCCATGACCTTGCTTGTGCGGTAAACAGCCTGACACTAGCACTCAACAAATAACAACCAAAGGAGTAGAGACATGGAATTAACATTACATATAAAAATGCACATTTCTTGCATACAACAGTATTATAAAAACCCAAGTTACACACAGTCACCGATTAATAGTTGTTTTAGTATCAAATCTCATTGGGAGAGACAGTGATTAAGCACAACACCCTCCCCATCCCGCATACTTGGACAATGTATTACACAAAACATGCTCTCCATTAACAAAACAGCAGCACTAAACCTATTATTATATCCTAAAATTGGTCACTTAGAAGCTTTATTTCTTCTGATAGTACAACAGCAACTCGCTTTAGAAATCCTAAGAGAAAGAAAAAAAAAAGAAAGAAATCCTAAGAGCTATAATCAAACACTGACCATGATTGGTAAGATACAGTCACAGGGGCCAGACACATCACTGCCATGTACAGTCACCCAGGTTGTGTGGACTGCATATACGGACTACAATGAAAAGAAATATCACTTGTCAGGGGTCTCAAGAGTGCCACAAAGATCCAATATTCAAATTTGGATCATCGTTTCTCAACTTTGGGCCAATTACTTAGAGTAATTTCATTTCAACAGGGGGACAATATCTTGATCCAGTAGTTCTTAACGTTGTTCAGTTTCTAAGCCCCTTTAAATGTTGAATCCTGTCTGCAGAAAAATTACACATACACAAAGCATGTCACCTATAATTTTAAGAAGTCTATGGATGGCTTGAATTCCAGACCCTTGCCTCAAGTGAAAATAATTCATCACAAACAGAAGAACTCCAAACCTCCACCAATCTAAGTAGTCATACAATCGGCTGGAAAAACATCTTGTTTGTCCTCAAATACTAAGGCAGAGGTAGCCATTTTGTTTAGATGAAGATTGCCTTATTTATTTTAAGATTTTATTTATTTATTCATGAGTGATACAGAGAGAGAGGCAGAGACCTAGGCAGAGGGAGAAGCAGGCTCCCTGCGGGGAGCCCGATGTGGGACTTGATCCTGGATCCCGAGATCACACCCTGAGCCAAAGGCAGACGCTCAACTGCTGAACCACCCACCCAGGTGTCCCTAGATGAAGATTATTAACGAGCCCAATCTCTTTTGCTGTGCCACTGCTTTGCAGTGGTGTTTAAACCCACTCCTGAATTCAACTGCCTTCCTGCCAAAATCTGACTGTTGGTCAATTCTTTCAGTTAATGTCCAAGGGTAAAAAACTTTGCCACTCTCCATATGTCTGAAAAGGTCTTTATTTCAGTCTCCTATTCTAATGATAGCTATAGGATCAACTGCTGCTGCTAAGAAATGTAAGCTGGACAGTCATTCATCTGTCTTCTCTCTTGGCTTTTAAGATTTTCTCTTTAGGGATCCCTGGGTGGCGCAGCGGTTTGGCGCCTGCCTTTGGCCCGGGGCGCGATCCTGGAGGCCCAGGATTGAATCCCACATCAGGCTCCCGGTGCATGGAGCCTGCTTCTCCCTCTGCCTGTGTCTCTGCCTCTCTCTCTCTCTCTCTCTCTCTCTCTCTCTCTCTCTCTATCATAAATAAAAAAAATAAAATAAAATAAATAAGATTTTCTCTTTATAATGGATACATTGTCATTATACCACAGTCACTCTAATTGTACATTTATTTTATTTATTCTCCTTAAGATTTGCAACGCTTTTTCAATCTGAGGTCTCATGGTTTTCTACAATTCTGAAAGACCTTCAGCCATTGGTTTTTGTTCTCTGGACCCCCAGAGATGTAATGCTGGTACACATTACTTATAAAGGATAGTGATGGTAGAAAAGTTATTTTGAAGCAAAACTAAGATTAAGATATCGGAGATATTATTGTGTGTTGTATGTCAAATATATTTCAGTAAAGCTGGAAATAAGACGATTGTGGATTTCAGTTATGCAAACTATATGCAGATATTATTAACACCAGTACAGAGTGTTC